GACTCTTTTTTACAATCCAGAAGAAAAAGTGGGGTGGATGAATATTTTTTTGCAGTGCAGGCAATCGAAGGGAATGACTCTTTTTTACAATCCAGAAGAAAAGTGGATGAATATTTTTTGCAATGCAGAATGCAGAATTTTGCAATGCAGGCAATCGAAGGGAATAACTCTTTTTTACAATCCAGAAGAAAAAGTGGGGTGGATGAATTTTTTTGCAGTGCAGGCAATCGAAGGGAATGACTCTTTTTTACAATCCAGAAGAAAAGTGGATGAATATTTTTTGCAATGCAGAATGCAGAATTTTGCAATGCAGGCAATCGAAGGGAATGACTCTTTTTTACAATCCAGAAGAAAAAGTGGGGTGGATGAATATTTTTTGCAGTGCAGGCAATCGAAGGGAATGACTCTTTTTTACAATCCAGAAGAAAAGTGGATGAATATTTTTTGCAATGCAGAATGCAGAATTTTGCAATGCAGGCAATCGAAGGGAATGACTCTTTTTTACAATCCAGAAGAAAAAGTGGGGTGGATGAATATTTTTTGCAGTGCAGGCAATCGAAGGGAATGACTCTTTTTACAATCCAGAAGAAAAGTGGATGAATATTTTTTGCAATGCAGAATGCAGAATTTTGCAATGCAGGCAATCGAAGGGAATGACTCTTTTTTACAATCCAGAAGAAAAAGTGGGGTGGATGAATATTTTTTGCAGTGCAGGCAATCGAAGGGAATGACTCTTTTTTACAATCCAGAAGAAAAGTGGATGAATATTTTTTGCAATGCAGAATGCAGAATTTTGCAATGCAGGCAATCGAAGGGAATGACTCTTTTTTACAATCCAGAAGAAAAAGTGGGGTGGATGAATATTTTTTGCAGTGCAGGCAATCGAAGGGAATGACTCTTTTTTACAATCCAGAAGAAAAGTGGATGAATATTTTTTGCAATGCAGAATGCAGAATTTTGCAATGCAGGCAATCGAAGGGAATGACTCTTTTTTACAATCCAGAAGAAAAAGTGGGGTGGATGAATATTTTTTGCAGTGCAGGCAATCGAAGGGAATGACTCTTTTTTACAATCCAGAAGAAAAGTGGATGAATATTTTTTGCAATGCAGAATGCAGAATTTTGCAATGCAGGCAATCGAAGGGAATGACTCTTTTTTACAATCCAGAAGAAAAAGTGGGGTGGATGAATATTTTTTGCAGTGCAGGCAATCGAAGGGAATGACTCTTTTTTACAATCCAGAAGAAAAGTGGATGAATATTTTTTGCAATGCAGAATGCAGAATTTTGCAATGCAGGCAATCGAAGGGAATGACTCTTTTTTACAATCCAGAAGAAAAAGTGGGGTGGATGAATATTTTTTGCAGTGCAGGCAATCGAAGGGAATGACTCTTTTTTACAATCCAGAAGAAAAGTGGATGAATATTTTTTGCAATGCAGAATGCAGAATTTTGCAATGCAGGCAATCGAAGGGAATGACTCTTTTTTACAATCCAGAAGAAAAAGTGGGGTGGATGAATATTTTTTGCAGTGCAGGCAATCGAAGGGAATGACTCTTTTTTACAATCCAGAAGAAAAGTGGATGAGTATTTTTTGCAATGCAGAATGCAGAATTTTGCAATGCAGGCAATCGAAGGGAATGACTCTTTTTTACAATCCAGAAGAAAAAGTGGGGTGGATGAATATTTTTTGCAGTGCAGGCAATCGAAGGGAATGACTCTTTTTTACAATCCAGAAGAAAAGTGGATGAATATTTTTTGCAATGCAGAATGCAGAATTTTGCAATGCAGGCAATCGAAGGGAATGACTCTTTTTTACAATCCAGAAGAAAAAGTGGGGTGGATGAATATTTTTTGCAGTGCAGGCAATCGAAGGGAATGACTCTTTTTTACAATCCAGAAGAAAAGTGGATGAGTATTTTTTGCAATGCAGAATGCAGAATTTTGCAATGCAGGCAATCGAAGGGAATGACTCTTTTTTACAATCCAGAAGAAAAGTGGATGAATATTTTTTGCAATGCAGAATGCAGAATTTTGCAATGCAGGCAATCGAAGGGAATGACTCTTTTTTACAATCCAGAAGAAAAAGTGGGGTGGATGAATATTTTTTGCAGTGCAGGCAATCGAAGGGAATGACTCTTTTTTACAGTCCAGAAGAAAAGTGGATGAATATTTTTTGCAATGCAGAATGCATAATTTTGCAATGCAGGCAATCGAAGGGAATGACTCTTTTTTACAATCCAGAAGAAAAAGTGGGGTGGATGAATATTTTTTGCAGTGCAGGCAATCGAAGGGAATGACTCTTTTTTACAATCCAGAAGAAAAAGTGGGGTGGATGAATATTTTTTGCAGTGCAGGCAATCGAAGGGAATGACTCTTTTTTACAATCCAGAAGAAAAGTGGATGAATATTTTTTGCAATGCAGAATGCAGAATTTTGCAATGCAGGCAATCGAAGGGAATGACTCTTTTTTACAATCCAGAAGAAAAAGTGGGGTGGATGAATATTTTTTGCAGTGCAGGCAATCGAAGGGAATGACTCTTTTTTACAATCCAGAAGAAAAGTGGATGAATATTTTTTGCAATGCAGAATGTAGAATTTTGCAATGCAGGCAATCGAAGGGAATGACTCTTTTTTACAATCCAGAAGAAAAAGTGGGGTGGATGAATATTTTTTGCAGTGCAGGCAATCGAAGGGAATGACTCTTTTTTACAATCCAGAAGAAAAGTGGATGAATATTTTTTGCAATGCAGAATGCATAATTTTGCAATGCAGGCAATCGAAGGGAATGACTCTTTTTTACAATCCAAAAGAAAAAGTGGGGTGGATGAATATTTTTTACAGTGCAGGCAATCGAAGGGATTGACTCTTTTTTACAATCCAGAAGAAAAGTGGATGAATATTTTTTGCAATGCAGAATGCAGAATTTTGCAATGCAGGCAATCGAAGGGAATGACTCTTTTTTACAATCCAGAAGAAAAGTGGGGTGGATGAATATTTTTTGCAGTGCAGGCAATCGAAGGGAATGACTCTTTTTTACAATCCAGAAGAAAAGTGGATGAATATTTTTTGCAATGCAGAATGCAGAATCTTGCGCGGCAAGAATCTTGCAAGATTCTTTCTTTTTGCAAGAACTTGCAAGTTCTTTCTTTTTGCAATCCAGAAGAAAAGTGGATGAATATTTTTTGCAATGCAGAATGCAGAATCTTGCGCGGCAAGAATCTTGCAAGATTCTTTCTTTTTGCAAGAACTTGCAAGTTCTTTCTTTTTGCAAATTCCTGCAAAATTCTTGCAGATTCTTTCTTTTTGCAAGAACTTGCAAGTTCTTTCTTTTTGCAAGTTCCTGCAAAATTCTTGCTGCAAGAATTTTGCAGGAACTTGCAAAAAGAAAGAACTTGCAAGTTCTTGCAAAAAGAAAGAATCTGCAAGAATTTTGCAGGAATTTGCAAAAAGAAAGAACTTGCAAGTTCTTGCAAAAAGAAAGAATCTTGCAAGATTCTTGCCGCGCAAGATTCTGCATTCTGCATTGCAAAAAATATTCATCCACTTTTCTTCTGGATTGTAAAAAAGAGTCATTCCCTTCGATTGCTTGGTTGGACCAGGACTTTTTTCCACACCCAGGGGCACCGGCTCCCGCCTATATATTGCCTCCGCGAAATGAAGTCCCGCAAGGAGCTATCTGGTAGCCAGAGGACTGAACATCCAGTTCCCTTGTTGCTTTCTTCCGGTCAGCGTTGGCGTCATGACTTCCAAGAGGAGTGAGGTTGTCCATCTGAACAACAGTGTGTGGGAGTACCTGGACCAACTGGGTATGAGCGAGGAAGCCAAGCGTGAGTTTAGACGCAAGGCTGATTCCATGGTAGGACTTGAATCCTACAGCTCCCTCTGGTTCTCCAGGTTCACCGCTCAACTCTGTCAAGCTCTGCACCAAATCCAACAACCTCATCCTGAAATCGATCTCAATGAGCCTGCTGATCCCCTCGACGACAAGGTATAACTAACCATACACTTCTTCTTCTTCGTTGTCAATGAATACGTACGCGTGACTTGTGCATGCCTGAATATATAACACCGTTTAGTGTCGATGATCATCAGGTGGAAGATGATTCCCATGGAAAACGTAAGAGGATAGGAAACCGGGGTATCACCAGTACTGCACCGCGCATCCGTGAAAGCGAGGAAGGACCATCTGGCAGGCCAGCGCCCAGCAACGTTCGTCGCTTCCGCAAGGATAACAGCCAAGTTCCGATGATTCTGCTGTCGGACTCTGACTGAAAGCCCCAATTCTACATCCCAGGAAGGCTCACGGCTCTCGTTTCTACCGTGTCGTGGATATCCTCCCAGTGTGTCTTGTGTTCCTTGAGAGTGATTGTCTTTTTAGTTTTTAATGTTCCCTTTTTCTGCTTCCCCGTTGGTGGGAAGAATAATCAGTAGTCAGAAATTAATAGTGGGGGAATGATGTTCTGTATGAGCCTTTCATCAACAGTGTTTTTTCTTTAATTTAACTGGCTACTGTTTTCTTATTTGAATTTAGATCCTGACTTTATGATCAAAGTATGTATAATTTGAAAAGACTAAGAAAATTATTAAATTACTTAATTATAGCATATATTTATAAAGTCTTTATCATTAAATTATATGCTAATTTGTAAATAGAGAAAATTGATTTGAAAAAAAATAATAAATATAATACTTAAAAATAAAAAATACTATAAAAAGACTTAAAATTCTGTTTTTATACAGATTTTCTATAGAAATGTAACATGATAGAGGTGGTGTTTAGATAAAACTAAACTATGGTTTGGAGAATAGATTTTATAAAAAAATAATTCTGATAAAGTGAGAGTGTTTGAATAGTTGTTATCAGAAACACTTTTTATATTTACAAATTACTAAAAAGAAAAAAATAATAATCAATCACTTTATCCGTTTACCGTTTTAACCCCGCAACGACGACGTATTTACTGATTATACTTCCGAGCACTCGCAAATTCTGTAGCCTCCAGACAATTGCTCCCATCCCATAATATTCGAGCAGGGTATTGCATCTTTTCGAAACCATCGATCTTCAGCCTCAAAGATGAACGATGGCGCCCAATCTCCTGCGGCTCGTGATCCCAACGTTGAGGATCCGGCTGAGGTTGAGGACGATCCTTCGTCCACCCTCCTTGATCTCACCAGCTGTCAACTTCACGACCTCGACTCCGTCGACTTGCCTCCCTACCTCACCAAATTGGACCTGACCACCAATCGCTTATCCGCCTTGGACCCTCGCATAGCCCACCTCTCTAACCTCAAGAAGCTTTCTCTTCGTCAGAACCTTCTCACTGATGCTGCCGTTGAGCCCCTTTCTACCTGGCACGACATTGCCCGTCTTGAGGTAATTCAAGTTATGCTTTTGCCTCCCATTGCTTTTCGCTTGCTGCAAAGGCTTGGTAAAATCGGTCCTTGTGTTCTCTATGCGTTTCCCAAGAGAAACATCGAGCATGAATATCCTCCTTTTTTTTTTGAGGCTTAGGTGGGCGCGATGCTGTGAATTTGATCTTCGGTTGCTCGAAAATTGAGCTTCGATGAGAACCTTTTCAACTTTCTTTCAAAAGTTTCCTAACGAGAGGAACTTAAAATTGTAAAGCAGGGAGAACTTTGAAGGATGTTGGAAGGTTTATTCTACCCTCTTTATTAACTATTCCTAAACAAGAGAAAGGTTACAGAAAACCTTCCCTTCTCCTCTCCATCCTAACATAACCCCCAAAAAAGGCATGACGATGCAGGATGATTCGGAGGACATTTCTAATGGAATTTGACGTCTTAAGTGAGATAGATATTTTCCTTGAAAATGTTTATGTTTATGCTCCTACCAATTTCAGATGATGGGAGTGAGTTAAGGAGTTAGTTAGTTCTTTCGTATTCTTCATACTCTGTTAGTTGCTTTAAAATTTTAATCTCTATGGAAATCTATTACCTCCAAACATTGAATCTTCATAATCGGAACGAAAGAGGAAAAGGAAGTTTCCAGACCTTGTTAAATAACTTCGGATGGATTTTACATATAGTTGCTTTAATTTATAAGCCACAAAGTAGTTGGTAATCTGTGTAGAATGCCTGTTAGATGTGCTTCTTTCTCATGTACAATTGTGTTAGAAGCCGTGATCCTCTCCCCCATCTTCTCCCTTGATTTACTCTATTAATTACCTAGAATAAGTTCCTAATTTCGTGTGATATTGCATTATTACTGATTGATTGTAATCTCTTTGCATTATTATTATTGATTGTAACTGGATTGCATTCTCCCATCCGGACTCTATAAATTGTACTCAGATCATATGAAATAAGATATATGAGTGAATTTACATACTCCACAAATATGGTATCAGAGCACTGGGTTCGGTCTGAACCCAGAAAAGCTCCTTAAACGTCTGCTGTGAGCCAGAGAGAGAGAGACAGCACGGGGAGAGAGAGAGAGAGAGTGAGGCGTCCTCAAACTAGTGCAAGAAGAGCTGCGTGGACGACACCACCCCTCCAGTCCTCACCGGCGTCCCTTGATCGGCCAGTCCCCAGAAGCCGACGTCGAACGGAGCTGCGCGTGACTCTCACGCGCCGTCACAAGCTCTGCGCGTGAAGTCCACGCGCCGCCACGCCCCTGTCACTGTTCCAGCGCGTGAAGCCCACGCGCCGCCACCAGAGACCTCCAGTACCTTCCAGAGACCCAGAAAATGGATGACCCAGAATTTCCACCACTTTTTGGATCTGTTCGCAATATTCCAAGGGCCTCATGTCCGGTACATCTTCTAATACTCAAGCTACTCCTTCTAAAAACTCCACTGCAGAATCAGACTTGACAATAGCCACTGAACCTCAAGCTATGGGGGTAGCTCACAAACTTAATGGTAGCAACTATCTCCAATGGTCTCAAAGTGTCTTAATGTATCTGCGTGGGAAGCGTAAGGAGAAGTATATCAATGGAGAAGCACAACAACCTTCACATAATGACCCCAAATTTGACACCTGGTTCGCTGAAAATAATCAGGTGATGTCTTGGTTGTGCAATTCAATGACCCTCGAAATCAGTGAAGGATACCTTCTTGCAAGCACAGCCAAGGAAATCTGGGATGCTGCTAAGCGGACCTACTCTACCCTCGACAACACTGCAGCCTTATTAGATCTCAAGAGGCAACTCAAAGATCTGAAGCAAGGCAACTTAACTGTAACACAATACTACAGTACTCTGACAAAGATATGGCAGCAATTGGATCTCTTTGAAGTACATCCTTGGAAGGATATAGATGATGCTAATTACTACAGACAATTGGTGGAAAAGGGACGAACATATGAATTTTTGTTGGGCTTGAATGATGTGTTTGAAGAAGTGAGGGGGAGAATTATGGGACTGAAACCTCTGCCATCCCTATTTGAAGTCTTCAGTATGGTTAAGTTCGAAGAAAGCCGAAGACACCTCACCCAAGGTAATCTGACCCCAGCAGAGGGCTCGGCATTGGTGACGAGAGGGTTCCAGACATCAGAGGGGCCTGAGAAGAGAGGGAACAAGTGGTGCAATCATTGTAACAAGAGAGGCCACACCAGAGATGAATGTTGGAAACTACATGGAAAACCAACCCAAGGGAAGCAGAAACGAGAAGATAGAAAGAGCCACCACACCTCATCTGAAGAAAGAGGTGACGATGGAGACCAGTTGACCAGAGAAGAGCTTCAAATGCTTCGTAAGATACTTGAAAAACAAAACAAGTCAAAATCTGTTCCCAACGTGAACTTGATACAGTCAGGTAACTCCATTATAGCCCTTAATGCAATGGTAACTAGTGATGAGACTTGGATTATTGACTCCGGTGCTATCGATCACATGACTGGTAATAAGTCCTTCTTCAAATCCCTCAAATATTGCCATGAGAACCTTAGGGTAAAAGTAGCAACTGGACTATATACGAAAGTTGAGGGTGTTGGCATTGTGGCTCTATCTGAAGATCTGGAAATCCATAATGTTTTGTTTGTCCCTGCTCTTACTTGCAATCTTATTTCTGTGAGCAAATTAACTAAAGGGCACGTATGTCGGGTGATCTTTGATGATGTTAAATGTGTTTTTCAGGATTCGACCTCGGGGAGGAAGATTTTGACTGCTAAAGAATGGGATGGACTCTACTACTTTGAAGGAAAGGATATGAAGATAGCAGGAGCAAAGAAAGCTATGGTTAGCTCCAATTCTCAGAATAAAAATGTAATGTTGTGGCATCTAAGATTAGGCCACCCCAGCTTTGATTATATGAAGCATGTGTTTCCAACTTTATTCAATAAAAATTCTTCTCCTTTCCAATGCGAAACGTGCCAAATTGCAAAACAAACTCGCGCCTCTTATCCCAAACATACTTACAAACCTACTGCCCCGTTCACAATGATCCATACCGACATTTGGGGACCTGCCAAAACCAACACCCGAACAGGCACAAGGTGGTTTATCACATTCATAGATGATCACACCCGGGTCACATGGGTTTACCTTATGAAAGAGAAATCCGAAGCCTTACAAATTTTCAAAAACTTTTGCTCGTTTGTGAGAACCCAATTCCAAACTCCCATCAAAGTTTTGAGAAGTGACAATGCCAAAGAATACGTGAGTGGAGCCTTTAGGGAATTTCTTGAGCAGGAAGGAATCCATCACCAAACCTCATGTGTCTATACCCCCCAACAAAATGGAATTGCTGAGCGAAAGAATAGACATCTTTTGGAAGTAACTCGAGCTATTATGATGGAAAGAAACGTTCCGAATATGTTTTGGGGAGATGCTGTACTGACCGCAGCTTACCTTATCAATCGCATGGCCTCCAAAATCCTCCATTTCAGTACCCCTATTCAGAAATTCCTCGAGACTTACCCCACCTCACCTATCATCAATTCCATTCCCCAAAAGATCTTTGGGTGTGTTGTCTTTGTTCATAAACATGATGGAGGCAAACTAGGTGCTAGAGCAGAAAAATGTATTTTCCTCGGGTATTCCTCCACCCAAAAAGGGTATAAGTGTTATAGTCCTACTACCAGAAAACTCATCATCTCCAAAGATGCCGTCTTTTACGAGGATGACGCTTACTACCCCAAATTACCCATTCAGGGGGAGCACTATGGAGTAGAATGGCTAATTACACCTGAACCTATAACCACCTCCAACCTACCTCTTAACCCTCTTGAATCTTCCACACCTCAAGAAGAAATCCCTGAACCAGAATCACAAACCCCTAGTCCTACACCTTCTCCAAAACACCAAAACACCACAAACACTCCTCACCCAATGGAAACCAATGCTGAAATTGATGCAGGGGTGACAGAGCACTCAAGTTCTCAATCAGGTAGTAGGGTTCCTTCCATTCCAAGGCAGCAACATGATTCCAATCCGGAGTTGGATCCTGAAGAGCTGGGATGGCCTATTGCACTCAGAAAGGGGGTAAGATCGTGTACTCAGCATCCTATTCAAAAATTTGTCTCCTATGGCAATTTATCTGCGCGAATGCAAACCTTTATAGTGAATAGTTCACAGGTGAAGATTCCAGAAACATTTCAACAGGCTATGACAGATCCTAATTGGAAACATGCTGCATATGAGGAGTTAAGAGCCTTGAAGGAAAACAACACGTGGGATATTACCACACTTCCTAAGGGCAAGAAAGCAGTGGGCTGTAGGTGGATCTTCACCCCTAAATTCAATCCTGATGGAAGCATCAACAAGTACAAAGGAAGATTAGTGGCTAAAGGGTACACTCAAACCTATGGGATTGATTATCAAGAAACGTTTGCTCCTGTGGCAAAATTCAACACCATCCAGGTACTCCTATCCCTTGCTGCTAACCTTGACTGGTCTCTACATCAGCTAGACGTGAAGAATGCTTTCCTAAATGGAGATTTGGAGGAGGAAGTATACATGGAAATTCCAGATGGAGTAATAGCTCCACCCAACTCAGTTTGCAAATTGAAGAAATCATTGTATGGCCTGAAACAGTCTCCACGAGCTTGGTTCGACAGGTTTGCCAAAGCAATCAAAAGGTTTGGTTACATTCAAGGACAAGCTGATCACACTCTTTTCGTCAAACACAATGATGGAAAGGTAACGATCCTAATTGTGTATGTGGATGATATAGTCATAACTGGCAATGATGAGGTTTCTATCTCCCATCTCAAGAAAGCCCTGGCTAGGGAATTCCAAGTGAAGGACCTAGGACAAATGAAGTACTTTCTTGGAATGGAAGTTGCTAGATCCAAAAAGGGTATAAGTGTGTCTCAACGAAAGTACACACTTGACTTACTCCACGAAACAGGAATACTTGGGGCTAAGCCTAGTGAGACTCCTATGGAAGAGTCATGCAATCTGGAAGTGAAACCAAACGAGACACCAGTTAACTCAGAAAGGTATAGAAGACTTGTGGGTAAACTGATCTACTTGACTCATACAAGGCCTGACATTAGCTATGCAGTTGGAGTGGTAAGCCAATTTATGCATCAACCCCAGGAAGAACACATGGAAGCAGTATACAGAATCCTCACCTACCTCAAACTCAATCCTGGAAGAGGAATATTCTTTCGAAAGGGGAATACAAGGAGCATAGAGGTCTACACTGATGCAGATCACGGGGAGAGCTGTGGATAACAGGAGATCAGTCACAGGATACTGCACTTATGTTTGGGGAAACCTAGTCACTTGGCGAAGCAAGAAACAAACAGTGGTCTTAAGGAGCAGTGCTGAAGCTGAGCTAAGAGCTGTAGCCCTCGGGGTATGTGAAGGAATGTGGGTGATTAGACTCCTAAAGGAATTAAGAATTTAATCTCTGGTGTGATAATCAAGCCAGCATTGAAATGACCAAAAATCCTGTGTATCACGACCGAACAAAACATGTTGACATTGATCGGCACTTCATCAAAGAAAAGGTCGAAGATGGCACCATTAACTTGAACTATGTGCGTTCAACTGATCAGATTACTGACATCATGACCAAGCCGTTAGCCAGAGTCAAGTTTGAAGGGCTTCGGAGCTTGACATTTACTCTCCAGCTTGAGGGGGAGTGTTAGAAGCCGTGATCCTCTCCGCCATCTTCTCCCTTGATTTACTCTATTAATTACCTAGAATAAGTTCCTGATTTCTTGTGATATTGCATTATTACTGATTGATTGTAATCTCTTTGCATTATTATTATTGATTGTAACCGGATTGCATTCTCCCATCCGGACTCTATAAATTGTACTCAGATCATATGAAATAAGATATATGAGTGAATTTACATACTCCACAAATAAATTGTTCTTGTCATTGGTTATGATTACCCTGTTTCTATATCTAAGCTGATGACAAACTGGTATTTATGCAGGAGCTGGTGCTACGTGATAATCAATTAAAAAAAATTCCTGATGCCAGCATATTTGAGAAACTATTGGTTTTTGATGTTTCTTTTAATGAAATTACTTCACTAAATGGATTGTGCCGGGCCACCAACATATTGAAAGAGCTCTATGTATCTAAGAATGAAGTGATGAAGATGGAGGAGATCGATCACTTTCTTGAATTGCAGATTCTTGAGCTTGGCTCTAACAAATTACGGGTGAGTAATATGGTTTGTTGTAGGAGAATCTATCATATAGGATTATTTGAGACAGATACCACTTTTGTGCTGGCATGCATGATGTGACAACCGCTCTTTCAAAACCATTTTAGATTAAATCCAACAATTTATTTGAATGATTAACCATGATAGAAAAGAAGAAACCTTAAAATTTTAAAATCGCTATCATGGTTAAAAGAAATAAACCTATAATAAGAGTAACATCGATCGTTACCTTGGGCCTTGGACTTCCAAAGTCCAGAAATATCATTCAACCATTAGCCCAAACCAAACTTATATTTTCAACCATACGAACTGATAAATCAGTTTAATATAAACTATAGAGCTCATTAGTCAAAAGTCAACACTTTCAAAGGAGCGTTACACGCAGAGTCTAAAATGCCTCGGGCCTACTCACGCCCTATCATACCAAATAGTAGTAATTAAAAGTATTATTTTACATCATGATAGTAGATGAGCCCTATGTGGCAATATATAACAAGTCAACACATAGAACAAAAGCAGGGAGGCTATACAAGCTATAACAGCACACTATGCCTCCGGAGCCTTCCCTGATGGGCCACCACCTGAACTATCGCCTGAAAATGTTAAACCACGGGGTGAGACAAATGCCTCAGTAACCAACTTTCCAACTCATCATACATACTAACACGTGCTCGTGAGGTGTCAAGTGGGACAGTTATAAATTCTCGAGAACTATAGATATATCCATAGAAATATAATTTCAATCATCCAAACCCTCACTATGGGGGCCAACACACAAGCCACATAAGTCTATCCCTCACTCTGGGGGATCAATCAAACATATGGGCCTATCCCTCATTCTGGGGGACGAATAAGAAGCCACAAAGGCCTATCCCTCACTATGGGGGACGAAAGAAAAAGCCAACCAATGTGCACCAATGGGGGCCTTACCACGTGGTAGGATAGGACTCAATCCCAAAATCCAAATAACAACCAATCATTCACAATATAATAAAAATGTCTCAATCTTTTCTCAGTATAATCAATAAGATATAAATCATATATCTTTTCCAAACTTCTCAATCAGCATTCCAAAAATCCCACAAGACAATTTTCATAGCTCAAAAGATATAACATATCTATTCAAGTTCCAAATATCAAATATTATTCTAAAAATAGCAAAATACTCACAAACAACATATTAGCACATATAACAAGTGGAAAGTGGTTACCTCTCGCCAAAGCAATACTTAGGATTACCAGAAGGTCAATCCTATGCTCAACCAATAATTAATCTACACAATTAATATAACCACATATTAATATAAACTAATTAATTAATTAATTAAACTTCTCTATATTATTTAAATTCCTGATTTAATTAAATTTTACTTTAAAATCTCTCAACTCTCATAACTCAAAAATTATTAAGTATTTTAGAAACAACTTAAAATTTCTAACAACCCAAATTATTTATTTACCACCTCCAAATTATTTACCTTAATAAAAAGGATTTTCAACAATTTCCAAATATAAAATTATTATATTATAAACTCTAAAAATCCTCATTTAAGTTTAAACCTCAAAATCAAACTCTCAAAAATTTAATAATAATACTTCAAATATTTATAACTAAATAATATGATCAAAACTTTAATGGTATAACTACCATATATATATTTCCATAAATAATAAACTTTTTAGCTACAATAATTATTTTAAAACCTCCAGTCACCCAATAAATAAAAATAAACCGATTAAAACCTCAATAATATATCAAACAACCCAAATAAATTATTTAACTTAAATTTAATCGGTAAAAATATGGTATATCTCATACATAACAGATTTTTCACTAAATAAATTAATTTTAAATACTAAAACTAGCAAATAGAGAAATCTAAACCGATTAAAATTAACAACTCATTTACTTCTAAATTTCTATAGTCATCTTTTGTCAAAACTCAATACTTATATCATATATAAGTCTCAAAATTTTCCCTAATCACTAGGGTAATACTACTATTATGAAGCATAAAATATATATGAAATATTTATGAAGAAAGTTTGATGAAAAGAGATAATTTCATGTACCTAAAATATCTTCAAAGCTTGCCCTCTGCTTCACCGGTATGATTCTCTCGCTCACACACTTCGGCCCTCTCTTTCTCTCTTTTCTTCTTCTCTCTCTCTCTCTTGCGCCTGCCGTGGGGGAAAGAATGAATTATTGGGGGTGTATTTAACACCCCCTGCTCATTTATTGGGGGGAGGGGTTTTTCAACCCAACCCCCAACTTTCCACCGCCCCCTTCCCCAACTTTCCACCAATTTCGGTGGAAAGTTGACTTTTTTTTTAAAATAATATTATTATATTATATTATATTATCTTATATTATTTTATTTTTCAATTACTTTTTTTTTTTTTTAGGATATTACACATGATATATTGGGTAGGAGCATGATTGTGTGCCCTGTGGAAAAGTGGGCAGTGACTTTGCTCGCTATAGTTTCTAATGTAGCATGGCCTGCGTTCTGATTTATTTGCATTCCTGATTCAGGTAATGGAGAATTTGCAGAACTTGACAAGTCTTCAAGAGCTTTGGCTTGGACGTAATCGAATTAAAGCTGTAAACTTGTGCGGGCTCACATGCATCAAGAAAATCAGCTTGCAAAGCAATCGCCTGACCTCAATGACAGGATTTGAGGTATTTAGTTCAATATTGTTTTCCCTCTAAGTTTTGTACAGGATATTTGAGGGAAAATATTAAAAAAATCAATGAAAGCCCTATTATGGGTTATGTCTTATCCTGTCAAATTATATTTATTAATCAAAACTCCTTGGAATTAGGAGGACAAAGATTTTCTACATATTCAATCCATTAGTAGACTTTTGTAAAGATAATTGCAATTTTTTTTCCCTTTCCCTCCCTGAATGCAGAGTTGCGTTATTGCGTAGCTCTAGAAGAACTATACTTGAGCCACAATGGCATCTCAAAAATGGAAGGCCTGTCATCTTTAGTCAACCTTCGTGTTTTAGATGTATCATCAAATAAGCTAACATCAGTGGATGATGTACAGAACCTAACACAGTATGTATACTCTTCCTTTTAACTCCATATTGATCATTTATGGCCTTTTGTTGTTAATTTCTGTGCTTTTTGTTAGTAGACTAGAAGATCTATGGCTTAATGACAATCAGATAGAATCACTTGAGGGAATTGTTGAAGCTGTTGCTGGTTCAAGAGCGAAGCTTACCACTGTCTACCTGGAAAACAATCCATGTTCTCTATGCGTTTCCAATGAGAAACATCGAGCATAAATATCCGGTTTTTTTGTTTTTTTGTTTTGTTTTTAAATGAGGCTTAGTTGCGTGCGATGCTGTGAATTTGATCTTTGATTGCTGGAAAATTGAGCGTCAATGAGAACCTTTTCAACTTTCTTTCAAAACTTTCCTAATGAGAGGAACTTAAAATTGTAAAGCAGGGAGGACTTTGAAGGATTCTGGAAGGTTTATTCTACCCTCTTTGTTAACTATTCCTAAACAAGGGAAAGGTTACAGAAAACCTTCCCTTCCCCCCTCCATCCTAACATAACCCCCGAGAAAGGCATGACAATGCAGGATGATTCAGAAGACATTTCTAATGGAATTTGACGTCGTAAGTGAGATAGATATTTTCCTTAAAAATGTTCATGTTTATGCTCCTACCAATTTCAGATTATGGGAGTGAGTTAAGGAGTTAATTAGTTCTTTCATATTCTTCATACTCGATTAGCTGCTTTAAAATTTTAAGCTAAATGGAAATCTATTACCTCCAAACATCGAATCTTCAGAATTGGAACGAAAGATGAAAAGGAAGTTTCCAGACCTTGTTAAATAACTTCGGATGAATTTTACCTACAGTTGCTTTAATTTATACGCGACAAAGTAGTTGGTGGTCTGTGTAGAATGCCGGTTAGATATGCTTCTTTCTCATGTACAATTGTTCTTGTCATTGGTTATGATTATCCTGTTTCTATCTTTAAGCTGATGACAACTGGTATTGATGCAGGAGCTGGTGCGACGTGATGATCAATTAAAAAAAAAATTCCTGATGCCAGCATATTTAAGAAACTATTGGTTTTTTATGTTTCTTACTTCACTGAATGGATGGTGTCGGGTCTCCAACACATTGAAAGAGCTCTCTGTATCTAGAAATGAAGTGATGAAGATGGAGGAGATTGATCACTTTCACGAATTACAGATTCTTGAGCTCGGCTCTAACAAATTACGGGTTAGTAATATGGTTTGTTGTAGGAGAACCTATCACATGGTATTATTTGAGGCAGATGCCACTTTTGTGCTTGCATACATGATATATTGGGTAGTTGTCATGAGAAGTATTTTTTATATGTGCAAATTACTAAAAAAAATATAAGTTAATATGATAATTACATAGAAGCTAAATTTTATAACATATTTTAATTTAAAGGAATAAAATTGTTAACAATATATTTTTACCAACATAATTAATAATATATAAGATAATGTAATTAATAAATAATTAATATGTGAATATATATTTATAAAACATAAGATTAAATATGTTCAAAGATAAATAATTGAGGGGCGTTAAAATCATATTACCGTTGGTATCTACTCTGACAGGCACAGTCATACTCTCCAATTTGAACCAGAAGCAGAGTGGATTAAAAACCATGGTTTTAGTCCAAAACTGTGGTTTGCTGATTTGTCCCCCTGTTTGGTAAATTTTTGACTCAAAACATGATTTCAGGTATTTGCCAAACAGACCCAAAATCTATTCTCCTAAGATCTATTCTCGAGAAGTTATTTTCCAAACCATATTCTATCCAAACACCCCTTTAAAAAAAAAAAAAAAAACTGTGACCGATTCACCCACCAGTTCTACCGATTCTTTGGTTGGTCGATTTCCTCTCATGGTGAAACTGAACTCAGTACCTGTTTCCCAATTCAACTTAACACCGTCTTATTAAATGCTATAATCATCATCATTATTCGGTAAAGCAACTTAGACCAATGAGAGAATTAACGAACTGTGGCATTAAATTCTGCCAAAAATGTCCTGTGAACGATCCCCATACTCTCATCCCCGGTATGTTCGTATGGTAGACATGGAGGAGAAAGGAAGAGAGGGGGAGGTACTACTTGGGAGGAAGTGAAAGCTGCATGTACAAAGGAATACCCCACCGTCATTAGCCAATGTAGCCATGCACAGACTTCAACTTCACCACAGCCGCCGTGGGAGCTTATGACGGTCAACTATGAAAAGATGGAGAAGCTCAAGTCATAATACAATTAAATGATTTGTCACAAATGGTAAAAAGAATACTGGCATATCATGCTTACTCTTAAGGAAAAAGAATAATATAATGGAAAAACAATTCTTTTTGCTTTCTGGTATTGCGTTCTGGTCTTTGGTAAAGATGTAAAAACTGCCAACAGGTGGGCATTACAGACACTGCAGTACAGCCGTACATGGGTCATGGGACAAGTCTTCTCCAAGACAATATAAACATTTCTGTCCCCGAGGTGGGGCAAATCAAAGTCAAAATAGGCTTCCACCACCGCAGCGTTTAATCTGACTTTGTTGCTAAGCTGTAGGCAGGGATTTTGGCAAGGCTTCTCCGCTTCATGACTGATCTTACATGCTCCACCTGCTTCCACATGCCTTCATTGGCATAGATATTAGACAACACTACAAAAGCCCCATCATTCCAGGGTTCCAATTCTTGCAAATGTTTAGCCACCCAATCCGCCATATCCACATTCCCATATTTCTCACAAGCACCCATCAAACAACCCCACACTACTGCATTGGGCTTCATTGGCATCTCCTCCACCATTTTTCTGGCCTCACTGAGCAATCCTGCTCTACCCAATAGATCCACCATGCATCCATAATGTTGCAATCGCGGTGTTATGCCATAAATATTCCTCATCATGTCAAAGTAGAATCTTCCTTCTTCAACTGTCCCACCATGCACACAAGCACTAAGTACTCCAACAAAAGTCACATGGTTAGGCTTCACCCCTGCCTCTCTCATTCTCCGGAAGCATTCAAGCGCTTCCTCTACATGTCCATGCATTGCATAACCCACAATCATGGACGTCCATGATGAAATATTCCGTTCTTCCATCGATTCAAAAACTTTGAAGGCTAGGTCCATCCTGCCGCATTTTCCATACATGTCTATCAGTGAATTAAACAATAAGATTTCTGTCCGATCTGTGGATTTCACCTGCAAAACACACTTGTGGAATTGAAAGGCCATGACCAAGTCACCAAGGCTTCCGCATGCAGATGTCACGCTAACCATGGTGACACCGTCTGGCACGAACCCATCTCTCATCATCTCCACAAACTTGTTTATTGCCTCCTGAGCAAGTCCGGCTTGGGAAAGGCCACCTATTATGGCATTCCAAGAACCCAGCTTTCGATCAGGATTTTCCTCAAACAGCTTATGGGCGCTTTCAAATTCTCCCGCTTTACAGTACAAATTTAAAAAACCACTTTCGCAGAACTCATTGAACTGTAGTCCAAGCTTAATACCGATAGAATGGATCTGCTGTCCTACTTCAAACGCAAAAGACTGGCAAACAGCCTTCAGAACGATGGGAAGGGTGTAGCAATCGGGGAAAGTTCCAGTTCGCAGCATCGCAACATGGACGCGAATGGCCTTGACTGGAGAGTCTAGCCTAGTGTAGGACCTTATGATATTGTTCCAATGAAAGGGAGCAGGATTAAATTCCAAGAAATGGGTTCGGATAATGCGGGCATGTACTATGTCCAATTCCAGTAAACATCTGCAGTTTGACAAGCAGGTTGCTATATCTTTCGAGAAATCATTTCCAGAATGAAGGGACGACAAAGTTGTGGGGTATCGCTGACGGTCTTGGGCAACAAGAGCTAATGTAGAGAAACTTGGATCGAAATAACGAGAAGCGGCCAGAAAAATTGGAACTTCGTGTTTCAAAAGCCTTATCATTAAATAGCAGCTGGCGTTTGAAACCAATCTCACTAATATTGAAACATAGATGCCTCTTGATTTTACCAAATCGTTTGCCGGATCAGGGAATTCATCGTCATACCAGCAGGCCGCGGCCGTGCCTGTCTGAGGTCAGGGCAGGTCAGGGCTGTGCTTAGTTTCGATGTCGCGCTGTGGAGGGTTTAGCGACCAAAAAATGAGTTGTGGGAATTTTTCAAGGACTGAGGTCTGGATTTCTCAATCGGCGTTTGGCGATTAAAAAATTATTGATTAAAAATATTGGGTATAGTTATATTGGTTTTATCTTCTATTCATTCAAAAAATATAATTTTAATTGATGATATCAATATAATTAACGAAGTAGCTAAGAGAGAAAGCTTGTGAGGCTGTTACTTCATTCTCACTCCTCCTTTTTTTTTTTTTTAATTTAACAAGTTCTCAGTTAAAGTTAAAACTTGAGGGACAATTCTCAAGTAAATTCAAAATAATAAATTTTGATGATAGATCGTTTGTCAATTGCATCTCTCATAAACTCTCTTCTTGTTCAATTATCAAATGTTCAAGCCAGTACATGTGACTATTAGCTTGAGCTTTATCCAACACTGGCATATGTTTGATATATCCTTGTTTAATCATTTAAATATAATAAATATGAAGAAAATAGATTCCTACTATTCCTCAGATTAATTCACTTTCTAACCCAAAATGCTTTTGGAAGTATAATATTGAAACACTTTTTAATAAAATCAATTATTATTGACCACAACGTTTATAATGTTGTAATTAAACGCACCTCGATTGTATAGATAGTGAACAAAAGAATCGAGACTTGATGACTTAATTATTTGCATGGAGTTTAGTAATTATATGTTTATATGTAGTTACATGCCACGGAAAACCGAATGCATGAACTTTTTTTTTTTTTGGGTGATAAAAAGTCAACACTTATCAGAAACAACAAAATGAAATATCACTAGAAAAAAGAAGAATGTAAATGCATCATTTTCCATAAATTTTTATAGTTTATATTCATCCGATTTTAAATATAAAACTCTTTTTATAATGTAAATAGTCTTATATTTAATATCAGAATAGTATTAATTATAAAACAATACGTACAAAAAGATAATATTATCTCGTATTCTTAATCTTGGTGAAATTTTAAAATTCATGCCACCTAAACCCTAATTTTTGCAAATAAAAAATTTCTTATAAATGTTAAGTAATTAAATTAGTTATTAATGAAAAACACCGAAGATCATTTAATTTGTTTCACGAATTAAACTTAAAATAAAGGAAAAGAATAACAATCAATCACTTTACCCGTTTACCGTCTTAACCCCGAAGCATCACGTATTTACTGATTATACTTCCGAGCACTCGCAAATTCTGTAGGCTCCAGACAATTGCTCCCATCCCCATCATAATCGAGCGGGGTATTGCATCCTTCTGTAACCATAGATCTTCAGCTTCAAAGATGAACGATGGAGCCCAATCTCCTGCGGCTTGTGATCCCAACGTTGAGGATCCGGCTGAGGTTGAGGACGATCCTTCTTCCACCCTCCTTGATCTCACCAGCTGTCAACTTCACGACCTCGACTCCGTCGACTTGCCTCCCTACCTCACCGAATTGGACCTGACCACCAATCGCTTATCCGCCTTGGACCCCGGCATAGCCCACCTCTCTAACCTCAAGAAGCTTTCTCTTCGTCAGAACCCTCTCACTGATGCTGCCGTTGAGCCCCTTTCTACCTGGCACGACATTGCCGGTCTTGAGGTAATTCAAGTTATGCTTTTGCCTCCCATTGCTTTTGGCTTGCTGCAAAGGTTTGGGAAAATCGGTCCTTGTGTTCTCTATGCGTTTCCAAAGAGAAACATCGAGCATAAATGTCCCATTTTTTTTTTTTTTTGAGGCTTAGGCGGATGCGATGCTGTGAATTTGATCTTTGGTTGCTGGGAAATTGAGCGTCAATGAGAACCTTTTCAACTTTCTTTCAAAACTTTCCTAATGAGAGGAACTTAAAATTGTAAAGCAGGGAGGACTTTGAAGGATTTTGGAAGGTTTATTCTACCCTCTTTATTAACTATTCCTAAACAAGGGAAAGGTTACAGAAAACCCTCACTTCCCCTCTCCATCCTAACATAACCCCCGAGAAAGGCATGACAATGCAGGATGATTCAGAAGACATTTATAATGGAATTTGACGTCTTAAGTGAGATAGATATTTTCTTTAAAAATGTTCGTGTTTATGCTCCTGCCAATTTCAGATGATGGGAGTGAGTTAAGGAGTTAATTAGTTATTTCATATTCTTCATACTCTATTAGTTGCTTTAAAATTTTAAGCTAAATGGAAATCTATTACCTCCAAACATTGAATCTTCATAATCGGAACGAAAGAGGAAAAGGAAGTTTCCAGACCTTGTTAAATAACTTCGGATGAATTTTACATACAGTTGCTTTAATTTATAAGCCACAAAGTAGTTGGTGGTCTGTGTAGAATGCCGGTTAGATATGCTTCTCTCTCATGTACAATTGTTCTTATCATTGGTTATGATTATCCTTTTTCTCTATTTAAGCTGATGAAAAACTGGTATTTTTGCAGGAGCTGGTGCTACGTGATAATCAATTAAAAAAAATTCCTGATGCCAGCATATTTAAGAAACTATTGGTTTTTTATGTTTCTTACTTCACTGAATGGATTGTGTCGGGTCACCAACACATTGAAAGAGCTCTATGTATCTAAGAATGAAGTGATGAAGATGGAGGAGATCGATCACTTTCATGAATTACAGATTCTTGGGCTCGGCTCTAACAAATTACGGGTTAGTAATATGGTTTGTTGCAGGAGAACCTATCACATAGTATTATTTGAGACAGATACCACTTTTGTGCTGGTATACATGATATATTGGGTAGGAGCATGATTGTGTGCCCTGTGGAAAAGTGGGCATTGACTTTGCTCGCTGTAGTTTCTATTGTAGCATGGCTTGGGTTCTGATTTATTTGCATTCCTGATTCTGGTAATGGAGAATTCGCAGAACTTGACAAATCTTCAGGAGCTTTGGCTTGGACGTAATCGAATTAAAGCTGTAAACTTGTGCGGGCTCACATGCATCAAGAAAATTAGCTTGCAAAGCAATCGGCTGACTTCAATGGCAGGATTTGAGGTATTTAGTTCAATGTTGTTTTCCCTCTAAGTTTTATAAAGAATATTGAGGGAAAATATTAAAAAATCAATCAAAGCCCTATTATGAGTTATGTCTTGTCCTCCCGCAAAACCCTTGATCTTATATGACAAAAATATGTAATCAAGTGTTTAAAGAATTGGACCGGCTTAGGGATTAGACATTTTGTACCTTAGTACCTTTTGTCTTAATTAGAAGGCCTCGTTTTATAATTATGACTAGAGGTGGCATTTAGAAACCTATTCTTCTCGCAAAACCCTTGATCTATGTGACAAAAATATGTAATTAAGTGTTTTGAGGCTTGGACCGGATGAGGATTAGATAGGTAGACATTGAGAACCAAAACGAACAATGGAGAATTATATTGGACGAGTAGATCTAGTGAGAAAAATAATTAGCTAGATACCACATTGTTCTAGCTTCTGGATGTAATTTTCTTCACAAACTAGTACTGTGACATTAATGTTGCGGATGCCCAAATTCCATCAACATCACAATCCGACCAAATCCACGTCCGCAAGGGATCAAATTCACATTTTGGCACAAAAACCCAAGTTTGGAGGGCAATTCCGTCACTTAGCATGAGTATTACTGCCCCCAAGCTTACTCTTCTAGTCCTATTTATAGGGTAAAAAGAAAATACATTTTTTAATCTTATTTATAGAGTATTGAAAAAAAATTTCTGTATGGATCTATAATTTTACCATTCATTTATTATTGTGTTGGTTTTATTTATATGAGGAATAATGTATATTAAACAGTGATAAAATTGAAAAATTATCAAATTTTAAAAGAGAGTTAATAGAGTTTAAAATTTTTTTTAATCTATATAAAATATAAAAATAATTTATAAGTAGGATCAGAAAAGTATAACAGAACCATCCAACTCACCCAATATTCGTGGCCTTCATCAAACGAGGGGCTCAGCTACCCTTCGCTGACGTTACCATCCGCTGCGGATAAACGACAATGCGTTTGGAATATTTTATCAAACGCAGCAGAAGCGATGTGCCCTAAGGTCCACGTCCTCACTCCTGAATTAAGGAAAAGGACGAGTCCAGTCCCATGTCTTTGATCCTTTGATGCGGTGATTGTCAATCATCAGCAAAATTTTATTTTCATCTAAAAAAATTATTTGTAAATAAACAAAGATTCCTGTTTTACCTAATAAAATTCTCCATTGAAAAAAAGCCATATAAACCAAGAAATGAATCCCATAAAATAAAATTTTTTGAACAATATTTATATCAATTTTTTTATATTAATTATGTCAAATTTCTAATCATATATAACCATATGTCATGTTTCAAAATTATTAGCATTTAATAGCATTTAATCATAAATTTACACAAAATAAAAAAGAACATATGATTGGAAAACTTGAAGAAACTTGATCTAGGTTTCCTCCAAATTTTTTGAAAAATATACTACCTCCAACCCTTAACATGAGGGCTGGCTAGAGATTCAATTTTGGTTTCAAATATAAAACCTCCATTTATTTTGTCTTCAATATTTATCAATTTTATCCTAAATAATCCTTATAATAATAAACTAATGTTTAACTAAATTAGTCAAAATTAATTGTTATCCATATGAAATCAGATTTATCAAGATTATAAAAATTAAGTTAACGTAAAATTTTGAAAGAAAAAATAGAAGTTGAAAGAAATTGATATGTTAGGTCAATACAATATGAGATGTTATGATTCATTAAAAGATAAGTATAAATCTCATTTTTTTCATTGAGAATTTTAGCTACTACATATGGTTCTTGATATATAAGCTAATTATCTAATTTTTTAATATTAAAAAAATTAGTTATTTATAATAAATAGATATTATCTTTTTTAAAATATCGTTATTAATTATGTGTATTTGAATTATCTTTAATATATGCAGTTATTATAAGAATTACTTGAGAGTAAAATGAATAAATATTAGAGACAAAGTGAATTGAGATCTTATATTTAGAATTAAATTGAATCTCTAACTAGCTTTTATATTAAAAATTAGAAGTAGTATATTTTTAAAAACCTTTTATTAAATAGGATTCATTACTTAATTTATATGGCTTTTTTTGACATTGAATTTTATTACGTAAAACGGGAATATCTGTTTACTTACAAATAATTTTTTTAGATGAAAATAAAATTTTGTCCTAGTCCAACCAAGCAATCCAAGGGAGTGAGTTTATGTCTTAAGGGCCACTATCATGTTATTTTGGGTCACTATCATCTTATTAATATCATGTTAATAAGATGATAGTGACCCAAAATAACATGATAGTGGCCCTTAAGACATAAACTCACTCCCTTGGACCAGGACTTTTTTCCACACCCGGGGGCACCGGCTCCCGCCTATATATTGCCTGCAGTCCCGCAAGGAGCTATCTGGTAGCCAGAGGACTGAACATCCAGTTCCCTTGTTGCTTTCTTCCGGTCAGCCTTGGCGTCATGGCTTCCAAGAGGAGTGAGGTTGTCCATCTGAACAAGTGTGTGCGTGAGTACCTGGAGCGACTAGGTATGAGCGATGAAGCCAAGGAGTTTAAAAGGAAAGCTGATTCCATGGTAGGATTTGAATCCTACAGCTCCTCCTGGTTCTCCAGGTTCACCGCTGAACTCTATCAAATCCTCCACCGAATCCAACAGCCCCGTCCTGAAATCGATCTCAATGAACCTGCTGATCCCCTCGACGACAAGGTATAACTAACCATGCACTTCTTCTTCGTCGTCGTCAATGAATACGTACGAGTGACTTGTGCATGCCTGAATATATAACCCCGTTTAGTGTTGATGATCATCAGGTGGAAGATGATTCCCATGGAAAACGTAAGAGGGTAGGAAACCGGGGTATCACCAGTACTGCACTGCGCATCCGTGAAAGCAAGAAAGGACCATCTGGCAGGCCAGCGCCCAACAGCGTTCGTCCCTTCCACAACCATAACAGCCAAGTTCCGATGATTCTGCTGTCGGACTCTGACTGAAAGCCCCAATTCTACATCCCAGGAAGGCTCACGTCTCTCGTTTCTACAATCACGTCTCTCGTTTCTACCGTGTCGTGGATATCCTCCCAGTGTGTCTTGTGTTCCTTGAGAATGATTGTCTTTTTAGTTTTTAATGTCCCCTTTTTCTGCTTCCCCGTTGGTGGGAAGAATAATCAGTAGTCAGAAATTAATAGTGGGGGAATGATGTTCTGTATGAGCCTTTCATCAACAGTGTTTTACTTTAATTTAACTGGCTACTATTTTTTATTTGAATTTAGATCCTGACTTTATGATCAAAGTATATATAATTTAAAAAGATTAAAAAAGTTATTAAATTACTTAATTATAACATATGTTTACAAAGTCTCTCTAAAATATTTATGTTATCATTAAATTATATGCTAATTTGTAAGTAGAGAAAATTGATTTGAAAAAAATAATAAATATAAATACTTAAAAATAAAAAATACTATAAAAAGACTTAAAATTCTGTTTTTACACAGATTCTCCATAGACATATAACATGATAGAGGTGGTATTTGGATAAAATTAAACAATGGTTTGAAGAACAGATTTTATGAAGAATAAATTTTATAAAAAATAGTTTTGATAAAGTGAGAGTGTTTAAATAATTATTACCAGAAACATTTTTATACATGCAAATTACTTAAAAAAAAGAAGAAAGAATAATAATCAATCACTTTACCCGTTTACCGTTTTAGCCCCGCAACGATGACGTATTTACTAATTATACTTCCGAGCACTTGCAAATTCTGCAGCCTCCAGACAATTGCTCCCATCCCCATCATAATCGAGCGGGGTATTGCATCCTTCTGCAACCATCGATCTTCAGCTTCAAAGATGAACGATGGAGCCCAATCTCCTGCGGCTTGTGATCCCAACGTTGAGGATCCGGCTGAGGTTGAGGACGATCCTTCTTCCACCCTCCTTGATCTCACCAGCTGTCAACTTCACGACCTCGACTCCGTCGACTTGCCTCCCTACCTCACCGAATTGGACCTGACCACCAATCGCTTATCCGCCTTGGACCCTCGCATAGCCCACCTCTCTAACCTCAAGAAGCTTTCTCTTCGTCAGAACCTTCTCACTGATGCTGCCGTTGAGCCCCTTTCTACCTGGCACGACATTGCCGGTCTTGAGGTAATTCAAGTTATGCTTTTGCCTCCCATTGCTTTTGGCTTGCTGCAAAGGCATGGGAAAATCGGTCCTTGTGTTCTCTATGCGTTTCCAAAGAGAAACATCGAGCATGAATATCCCTTTTTTTTTTTTTTTGAGGCTTAGGTGGGCGCGATGCTGTGAATTTGATCTTCGGTTGCTAGAAAATTGAGCTTCGATGAGAACCTTTTCAACTTTCTTTCAAAATTTTCCTAATGAGAGGAACTTAAAATTGTAAAGCAGGGAGAACTTTGAAGGATCTTGGAAGGTTTATTCTACCCTCTTTATTTACTATTCCTAAACAAGAGAAAGGTTACAGAAAACCTTCCCTTCTCCTCTCCATCCTAACATAACCCCCAAAAAAGTCATGACGATGCAGAATGATTCGGAGAACATTTCTAATGGAATTTGACGTCTTAAGTGAGATAGATATTTTCCTTGAAAATGTTTATGTTTGTGCTCCTACCAATTTCAGATGATGGGAGTGAGTTAAGGAGTTAGTTAGTTCTTTCGTATTCTTCATACTCTATTAGTTGCTTTAAAATTTTAATCTCTATGGAAATCTATTACCTCCAAACATTGAATCTTCATAATCGGAACGAAAGAGGAAAAGGAAGTTTCCAGACCTTGTTAAATAACTTCGGATGGATTTTACATATAGTTGCTTTAATTTATAAGCCACAAAGTAGTTGGTAATCTGTGTAGAATGCCGGTCAGATATGCTTCTTTCTCATGTACAATTGTTCTTGTCATTGGTTATGATTACCCTGTTTCTATATCTAAGCTGATGACAAACCGGTATTTATGCAGGAGCTGGTGCTACGTGATAATCAATTAAAAAAAATTCCTGATGCCAGCATATTTGAGAAACTATTGGTTTTTGATGTTTCTTTTAATGAAATTACTTCACTGACTGGATTGTGCCGGGTCACCAACATATTGAAAGAGCTCTATGTATCTAAGAATGAGGTGATGAAGATGGAGGAGATCGATCACTTTCTTGAATTGCAGATTCTTGAGCTTGGCTCTAACAAATTACGGGTGAGTAATATGGTTTGTTGTAGGAGAATCTATCATATAGGATTATTTGAGACAGATACCACTTTTGTGCTGGCATGCATGATATACTGGGTAGGAGCATGATTGTGTGCCCTGTGGAAAAGTGGGCAGTGACTTTGCTCGCTATAGTTTCTAATGTAGCCTGGCCTGAGTTCTGATTTATTTGCATTCCTGATTCAGGTAATGGAGAATTTGCAGAACTTGACAAGTCTTCAGGAGCTTTGGCTTGGACGTAATCGAATTAAAGCTGTAAACTTGTGCGGGCTCACATGCATCAAGAAAATCAGCTTGCAAAGCAATCGCCTGACCTCAATGACAGGATTTGAGGTATTTAGTTCAATATTGTTTTCCCTCTAAGTTTTGTACAGGATATTTGAGGGAAAATATTAAAAAAATCAATGAAAGCCCTATTATGGGTTATGTCTTATCCTGTCAAATTATATTTATTCATCAAAACTCCTTGGAATTAGGAGGACAAAGATTTTCTACATATTCAATCCATTAGTAGACTTTAGTAAAGATAATTGCAATTTTTTTTCCCTTTCCCTCCCTGAATGCAGAGTTGTGTAGCTCTAGAAGAACTATACTTGAGCCACAATGGCATCTCAAAAATGGAAGGCCTGTCATCTTTAGTCAACCTTCGTGTTTTAGATATATCATCAAATAAGCTAACATCAGTGGATGATGTACAGAACCTAACACAGTATGTATACTCTTCCTTTTAACTCCATATTGATCATTTATGGCCTTTTGTTGTTAATTTCTGTGCTTTTTGTTGATAGACTAGAAGATCTATGGCTTAATGACAATCAGATAGAATCACTTGAGGGAATTGCTGAAGCTGTTGCTGGTTCAAGAGAGAAGCTTACCACTGTCTACCTGGAAAACAATCCATGTGTATGGTCATCTGTGAGCTTTACTAATTTTGTGTACTTTTATCTAATTGACATCTCTTGAGATGGGTTATATGTTTTGATCACCAATGTATTGAGTTTTATTTTCTATTTATCATACCTCTTGTTAGGGTTAACTATTATTTGAGATTGTCAAAGAATTTGATGAGCATGTAGTATGGATGGAAAATAAGTGTTGAACTATAATATTTTTCTGGATCAAACTAAAATTTAGTTTTTTGGTTGTATGAGTGAAGTGTTTGTAATTCTTGAATAAAGTTGGAGCTTCGAGTTTTTGATAGGTTAAATTACAGTATCAGTACCTAAAGTTTTACTTTATATAATTTTGAAAATTTGTGATTAGATTCTTTTTGTTAAGCCTTCATCAGTGTGCTCTCAAAATTTACCAATGGGGCGAATCTGTGCTATCATGAATAATTTTAAAGATGTATCAGTCATGCCTATAAAAATAGGGAGATAGTTATGGATTTTTAAATTATTGGTTCCTAATTATAAAATTGTGAACTATTTAGCTGAGTGATTTAACATTTTGGTTGTGTAGGTTTGTGATTTGTGGTTATAGTAGTTTCAAAATAAACGGGTGTTTTCACCATTTTCCTTGAGTTTTAAATGTTCATTCATGTTTCTTTATGAACTACTAATTTAATCCTATACTGCTCTTTCAGGCTAAGTCTCCCGAGTATCTTGGCGTTTTAAGGCAAACCTTCCCCAACATCCAGCAGATTGATTCCAATGTATTTTGTTAGAAGGGTCATAGCTTAAGCTTTTATGAAAATTAATAGCTTTTGAAGCTTTGGCTTGTCATATCCTTGGGTGAGGTGCTAGAAAAAAATATTTGCATGTTTATTTTATCCTAGTATTAATGTATTGGATTGGACATCAAGAAGCGTTCACAAAAAAGTCTTCTATGTGTGCAGGTTTGAGTTGAAAGATTTTTTATTTGAAACTGTCTACCTGATGAGAAGAAGGGGCTGTAAAATCCTTAGGCATTCATGTGGCCTGACCATCAGTTCCTGCTGTGACAACTACGTTTTTAGCTGTTATATTTATTGCCTTGCATATCACATTCCATTTTATTTTGGTACTTTCTCACAAATGGAGAACTTGGTTTTTAAAGAAGGGAAAATTATACTCAGGTCCCACAGAGCACAATTAATATCAGAAAGGTCCCACGAAATCGAGAAATGATTCTGAAGTCCCCAGGGACCTGTGTGTAATTAATTCTAATTGTGAAATTACCTACTTACTCCTGTTAATTTTATTGCAACAATTCGTTTACAATCTCAACAGTGGTTATTAACAACCCGAGAAGACATGATTGACAACCTCGGCAGTGTTCATGGCAACTCACTCTGTGGAATGCCAGGAGCGTTACTGAGATTGTTAACCACCTCTTCTCGGGTTGTTAACAGCCACTGTTAATGTTGTAAATAGGTTTTAATTTTATTGCAGCAATTCGTTTACAATCTCAACAGTGGCTGTTAACAACCCGAGAAGACGTGATTGACAACCTCGGCAGTGCTCATGACAACTCACTCTGTGGAATACCAGGGGCGTTGTTGAGGTTGTTAACCACCTCTTCTTGGGTTGTTAACAGTCACTGTTGAGGTTGTAAATAGGTTCAAATTAACAGGGGTAACTACGTAATTTTACAATTAAAATTAATTACACACAGGTCCCTGGGGACTTCAGAATCATTTCGTGATTTCGATGGACCTTTTTGATATTAATTGTGTTCTGTGGGACCTGAGTGTAATTTTTCCTTTAAAGAAACGCCCTTTATATTCAGTATACTAAGAAGGATATAGTATAATGGCCTATCGTGTTATATTTCTAAGTGCACATGTAGCAAAATAACAATTGTTCATATTTCATCGGTGAGTTTATAAGTGTACATATGCATTTTGACAAGGTAAAATCCCACAAAAAGAATTTAGAAATTACTAAATCTCAAATTAGAAATTTCTAGAAACAATCATGATTTGGAATTTTATAATTTTTAGGTTCTTTTCGTCAAATTTTCCCTTTTCAACCACTAATCATAACAAAATAGCAAGTGTTCACTTGAAAATTTACAAATTCTAATTTATGTTATAAGAGTTTATACAGAAATTTACAAGTGTATGTATACATTTTAATAATTAATAACAAAACTAATAAGCAATGGTTATAGTAGAAGGGCTTTTGGCTTTTAAATAGACACAAAGAAAGGGACTACGGCTACTTATGTGTGATGCCTCAAGGTTGAATCATTTTGAATACAAAAATGCTTTTGGAGATCATGCCCGGTTGCGTGAAAAATGCAATGCACGTCTCCTTGTGTGAGAAAGCCCGTATAACTAATTTAAAATAAGCTTAGTCTCACCCCAACTGGATAAAAAATGTAACACCCTTTACCTTGTGTGAGAGGAAAATCGTAACAAAAAAAAAAATGAACCTAGTCATCTCGCCATCTGGTCATCTTGCCTTGATGAGTCGAGTTTCTCGCAATCTTCTCATTCAAGCAATCCAACTATAAAAGTCACCTCCGCAAATATTAAAAAATATTTTTTCCAGATTTTGAAATATATACAAGGATGAAAAATATAATTTTAAGATACAAAACTATTTGATTTTAAAATATACAAATATGACAACGTATGTTTTTTGACATTTTTACATAGAAATTTTTTGAAAATTATAATATGAAATAATTTAGGATTTGAGAAAATGACACATAAAGAAACCATTTCTTTATTTGTCATTTTCCCTTAGGATTTACCCATTTTTTTCTTTTTTTTTTTTTTCATATTTTTTCTTCATCATCATCAGTTTTCTTTCCATCCAAAAGGATCATTAGTAGATATGCAGTGAGGTGATTGTTTTTGTTTTTGTTTTTTTCATTTGATTAATGGTTTTTCTCTTCGAGACTTGGAGCACAAAAACTTTTCACCTCTACTCACAAGAACATTTTTCAAAATTCAAACTTGTATTCTCTATCTTATAAAAAAAAGCTGTTTACCCCTTCAACCAACTTGTTTTTATTCAATGGCCTGTCCCACGGTGATATTATCAATTTATCATTTTCCATCACTTAATCCAACAAGGTTAATAAGAAACTCAAATTTATGAAACCCAGGCACAGGTACGAGAACAGATAACATGACAAAAATCCTAAATACCCTGCAAAAGCACCCTCGCTCCAATTCAAAGGCATATCGTACATGCACACTGGTGATTTTTGGAAATTCTTCGAATTTATATATTTACAGATAAAGAATTATAGATTATGGAGGGTTTAAAACTTCCAATTCCCCAAGACCTGCCACTCCAGCAGCATACAAAAAATACAAGGACAACATTTAGAAACATGATTCCAGGGAAATAAAATAACAAGACTCATTCCATTCGTTCTAAGTGGGCAGTAAATTAAGTCCTCTGCTGTAGCAGTTAAATAGTTTACAAACAAGATACAAAAAGACTAGTTCATTTCGATTACTAGTAGGCGTCAAAAACAAAGCTGAGTTGTAAACAGCGCACAGGATATCCAACCACAACCGGTTTTCATCCAATAAGCCACCATGATGGAAACCTCTGGAGACAAAGTTTGCATGAGAAGAGAGAACTGTGAAATGAATAGCAACAGACCAATCAATGCCCTCTTTCAAATCCAATACGAGTCCTACCAGAACCTCCCTCATGACCATCACGCATTGAAGAACCGCCACTTGCTCTCATAGTTCCTCCACTACCCACTTTTTCCATGGCTTTCTTACCCTTCTTCACTTCTGTCAAGAACTGATCCAGACCAAATGGATCAGCTTCTTCATTTTCAAATTCAACCGGCCTATCCCTTGGACCTGTCCTTTCAGAAGTACCGGCAAATCCTTTATCAGGTTTAAAGCGATCAGTCTTCATAATCTTCTCCAGTTGCTCATCCGCACCTCCATAAGCATCAGAATCCACATCTTTCTTCGGCCTGTACAAGGTTGAGAGGGTTGGCTGAGCAGTAAACAAGCCAGACTCATAAACATTATACTGATCATCAGTGGCAAACCCAGAAGATATTCCTTTATCCTGGTTGAATAGCCTTTCATCATACATAACTTCTGTCCCTGCCTTTGTAGAAGCCATGCCGAGAGCAACTTTCTCACTAATATCACGATCCCTATCTCTTGTAATCTTGCTTTTCTTCCCCATTGCTGCATCCTTAGCCTCTAATCTTCTCTCTCTTTCTCTCTCTCGTCGCCGTTCCTCACGAATTTTTTCCCGTTGCAGTCGTTCCTCCCTTTCCTCCCTTGTCTCCTTGGGGTAACTCTTCTCCCTTTCCCGTGAATGCTCATAATCAACTCTCATATCAGCATCTTCCATGCTGCTCTTTTCAGAAGGAATGGCAACAGCAGCTGGAGGTGCCACACCAGTTCTCTCTGAGCGTGCTTTCTGAGCCAAAGCCCTCAGCTCCTGCTCTTTCCGTTCCTTCTCCTTCAAAAGCATCTCTTTCTGAACCTTGGACCTCATAGCAACTGCTTCTCTAGCCTTCTGCTCTGCAACATACAATGCTTCTGAAAGCTTTGCAAAATTATCATTAATCTGAACATCTTGAAGGCCTCTCCCATCAGCCGCAAGACGCTTGTCAAGAGGAATTGTGTAACCTTTAGGATTCTTCCAATTTGAAATACAAGGGGGTATCTTCCAATCTTGTTGATCTTTCACAGTGACAGGCCTAGGAGGTGAATGCATCACTGGCACAGGGGGAGAGCCAGAAGCTTTTGGAACTCGCTTATGCTTAAACTTGGGAGGCTCAAGTGGATCCACAGGCATCTCAACCATCCTAATAATCCTTTCCTTTGCCCCAGAATTGAATGCTCCAGATTGTTGCGAAGGCTTATACTTGATAAACTTTGCATCAGATGACTGTTTGGGCACATTCTTTGGCTGTGCAGCACTCAATCTCACATTAACTATCTTCTCAAGTGCAGCTTTTGTTTCCTGTGTCGTTTCTTCAATCTCCTTTTCCTTCTCCTCATCATCCATATCATCTTCTTCATCATTCTTCAAGAATTTTGGTACCAGGTCTTTCTGTTGTGAATATACAATTTTTTTAGCATTTTCATTCTGCTTGACTATTGCATCGTAAGCTACATTTCCATGGGCATCAACTGTCACAGGAAGAATCTTTGACCCCGGTTTTGATGATTTATCCCTCCCCATGTCAAGGGGGTACTGCGCAATGTGGATCTCAGGAAATGCTCCCCCATCCCCGAAATCCTCTACCTTTCTAGGAACAAAACCTGCACGCTTTAAATATGGAGGGACAGGCTTATGCTGAATTACTGTGGATTTCTCAGCCTCAGATGTGCTAAATCTCTGCTTGAACCATGGATCACTACTGTGGTCATAATATGAGGTTGATGTTGATTTCGCTGGGGGAAGAAGGTCTTTCAAGGCCGCCATAATGATAAGTATTTCGCGCCCTAGGGGAAATAAGGACCTGGATTGAACCGAATTACATTATAATGAATTGCTGTAAACACCAAATTAAATAAATAAAGGAAATATAAAAAAATATCAAAGTATGACAATCTTACTCAGGTAGACAGCAAAAGTAAGATCATATGTACAAAGGAATAGGACTCTAATAATTTGTTTCTCTAGAGAAGATATCCACGCATAAAGAAAGTTGCTTGAGTCCTAAAGACAAATGATTAAAGGCCTTCTTGAAGATCTTTTTTCTCCCAAAAAAAGATCAGCAGTCACTGATCTCAGACTCATCCACTCAGTCTAACAGTTTGGATCTTCACATGTACTACTGTTACTGTCATAATATCTAAACATCCCAAATCATGAATTAAAGTGTAGATATTTTTGTTTTTCTTACGAGCAGAACAAGAAAGGTCGAAATCCAGAAACACCGACATAACATAGATCGCCACCCCGAAAATTTGATCAACGGAGTGGGCCCAGAGATAAAGAGTTTGACAAATAAAAAATAACAAAGGAGCAAAAGGGCGAAGCCCTCCCCATAGATCCAAAGCAGGAAGAACTGGAAACCCTAACCTGATTCGAACGGAGATTCGGCGGAGATGATCGAACAACG